TCCTCTGCGCTTCCGCTTTTCCCGCGACTTCGCTCTGGACCCGAAAACGCTCCAGAATGAGAAACTCCTTCTCCCGGCCAGGGTGCCGCCTCCGCCGGCCCGGACTTTAAGGGGCAGGGCCTGGCAGCCCCCTCCGTACACACGCCCACACATGCCACCCCCGCCCAGGGCCCCTCGCCCGACCCCGAGCAGGGACCTCGTCGTGCAGTGCGGAAAACCGGTGATGGGGGCGCCCTGGCGAGGCGGCTCGCCCACCCACGGCACGGCCGGGAGGTCAGTGTGAGGAAAACACAACCGTATTTCAGTATTTCGCATGGTTTTATTACAAAACAAGCAACAAAACAGTTTTAGAAAATTATTTTTTGCTACATACCAATTAGGAGATCACGTAAAAGGAGAAGCGTAACAGTTTCCATGCACTCAGCTCGGCGCTGACGGCGAGCGCGGCGCACAGCTGAAACACGCTGGCTCACAGCACACAGCCGTGCCGCCGCAGCAGCCGAGGGCCAGAGGTCGAACGGTATGTTTTCGCCAGACATTCGCTTTATGCGATCTCTACCTAGCACGAATGACTGTGATTGACTGCTGCAGGCAGTAACAAAGAGAGGAAAAGGAACTCTGGGAAAAAAGGGATGTTGACAGACAAGATTTAATAAACCTGTCCATTTCTGACATGTTCAGAGCTTAGCCGGCTTGGGAAACTCAATTTCCAAAATGGTGTTACGTTCCTATGCCTCTTTCTCTGGTGAACACCGAACACAAACCTATCAAATCCCACTGCTCAACTACTGAATCTGCTATTTATGGGGTCCTTTGAGCCCATCTCAGAGCAGACAGGAAAGAAAGAAAAACAAACTTTTGCTTCAAGTAGACGAAGAAGCTGGACCTTAACACTATTTTCTTTTTCTTGGCAGGTCAGAATTCTATGAAGAAATAGATGTGTAATTCCAATAGTTTGACCTGAGGTCAATCTCCACCATGTATGCCTCGGTTTTCCTTACGATGTCTCACAATGCAAAAGGCCAAACTCTTTTTACTAACCCTCAGCTGACCTTGAGTAAGCAAGTCCATCAAAGCTTTCAAGAATAATGGATGGTAAGTAGCTCAGCTGTAAGGAACGACCACTTGACATGCTGTTCCACGTAACAGGTCAAGACCACTTCCAAAGCCTTATGGAAAGAGCACAAATCAGGGAAGGTCTTTATTCCACAGAGAAAATGTAGTACCTTTTTCAGTTCCTGTTCTAAAAACTCAGATTTATTCCAGAGCCTATGTAACTCAACCACTAACCTATACTGCATCCCCACCCTATATTTTCCATTTGGTTCCATTTTATACATTTAAAAGTAAATGCTTTGGTCAAATATGCAACATCTTTGGTTCACATTAAAAGATTACAGTGTAAAACCGGCTAGAAGGTAAGAAATATGGACAGAAAAGGAATTCTGAAATACGATTTGGGAATGAGAATGCTTTTTGTTTTCACTGAAGATATTTATATTTATCTGATATTGGAACTACATGAATAATATTATAACTTGGAATTCCCAAGTATTTGCTAATTAGAGTCCTTGTTGTCACTTTATCAAGATAATACAATCTGGATTGTAAGTGTGTTTATTTAACACATTCCCAAAAGAGACCTTGCTGAATAAGAAACTTATCAGCTCATTGCAATGGCCAATTAATTAGCAGTAGTAATCTAGCAGAGAGTTTATAAAAGAGAGCAAGAAATGGGTAGACTGTCACAATTTAAACACCAGAAGATGACATCTTTTCCATAGGTCTGGAAATGTTTAAAGAGATGTCAGGGTGCAGGCTAGTGGCACAAAGGATAGTGTATCTAACTGTGGATCAGAAGAGATCTCAGTTCCTAATTTACTTTCATTAGTTCTATATCACATATTTGGCCCTTTCCTTGACTAGCCAAAGAATTTTCTTGAGGAAAATTTGAAGAGGAAACCAGAGGTCAGGAGCTATAAGAATTTGGAATGGCCTCTTTAAAGTAGGACTTAAAGTACGCTGTAAACCCGATCACTCATAAATAATAATTCTTAAACAAAAGATTTCTGGGGACAAAAGTATACGAGAATTTACAGAAGGGGCAGTGGGGAGAAGAGAGAGAAAGGAGGAGAGATCCAGTCATAGATTTCTTTTTTTATACCAGAACCAACAGGCCAAACTTAAGAGGAGGACAGCTACAGTGCAGTGCAGTGAGAAAAAATTCTCAGTGTCACACAGACTTCAGGGAAACTTCACTGCCTTAAAGAAACACGATTCCTCTTAAGTCACTAAGGATGTTCTCATCAAGTGTTTTCAGCTCTATATTAGATTTGGACATAAGAAGGGGTGGGGATTTACTCAGGTAAAAATGCTTGTTAGTCTCTTCCCCTAGTCACTAATTTTTATTTTTAAAATATAATTAATTTGATCTACCTGATAAAAGTTAAAGATAGAAATGAGCTAAGTTCTCTCTTCCTTTAGGGGAACCTAGTAAGTTCTTGGTGGCAATTCACCACATAAATTGGATGGACAAATTCTCCCAGGGATACTTCTTGTCAAATGGAAAAACGTATGCCCCAAAATGTGGGTGGGAAACCCAATCTTCTATGCTCTTCTGAGACATCCCTAGCCAGCAACTCGTAACCCTAAATCAATGTTTCCATGCCCAGTTTCTTTTTCATTAAAAATATAAATCTCTCAAGATTATCTTTGTATCTCTTCACTGTTAAGTACATGGAACCTCATCACATTAAAGGGTTTGATCATGCAAGTACACAGGGCTTCACTCAGAGGGCAATGCAAAGAATAAAAAGAAAGCGAGTCTGCCAGGGCATACAATGCACAGCACTTAAATTTAGCCCAATGCAGGCCCATTCAAAAGGAGCTGTGGGGCAAGGATTCGAGATACTGCCTTTGCCAAAACAGAACTTTTCTCCTGTCTGGAAAACATGGATCACAAAAGCTTAGCTGGATGAACTGGAATCCATCTCGTTTCAGCACCTACTTTGAAGCTCATCTAAAACTTCGAAAGAGATTGATGTTAACACACAAGTGAATTATCACTGATCAACCCTCCACGCATTCCAAATAATGCCATATCAAGGGAAATGTCTGTTCTGTACTCAACAGTCATAACATTTAACACTGATAAACCCACCCTTGGGGTCTGACACAGAAACTGGGTGGGTAGGTCTGTCACCCACATCTATAGCATTTGGGGTCAAAAGCATCCAGAAGAGAATAAGAGTAATTCCCAAAACTCACTGATACGCTGTTGGTATAGCTGGATTATTCCCCACACCTTACAAGAGGTCCCTATACGTTCCCTACGAGGACTCCCCAGCGCGCCTGTCCTGGCAGACACTGAGGGCCACCTCCAGGCCCCGCATCTTAACACCACTGTGTCCCAGTCGAGCCCTCCCACTTCGCAAGCCTCAGTCAATAAACAGGAATCAGATAAAACCAGATCAGTGGGCTAGGATTTGTGCCTGGACCGAAAACAAAATGAAGAGACTAAAACAAGGACAAGGGAATAAATCTTGGTCGGGGTGAAACTGGACTCCCAGCCTCCTCTGGAGAAGAGTTGCTAAAAAAACCCCTCACCGGGAAGACCTTGGAAGAATCAAGCAAGAGTTTACTATATACTCTTGTTTATGGACTGGACAGTATACTCTCCACTGAGTCTGCCTACAGGTCTAACCTAGTGATTTCCCAAAATTAAATACACTCTGCGTTGATATTACCAAAAAAAACAAAAAAAAAAAAGGCCAGCTGGATGGGCCCCTGCCTCCCACAGAGCATCCACAGGAATACGAGTGACATAAAGGCCTGTGACTGTCCGCCAACAAGGAGAGAAACTGAGTCACGGCCTCCTTCTCTCGAGTCCTCTCCCTCCCTCCCATGGCACTATGCTTCATCACACATCAGAGGTCCGTATGTTTTCGTCGTCAAGGTTGAACACAAAAGGTTTCTCCTTAGGGTGCTGGGGTTCCGATCTGTGCCTGATCCGGGAAGGCGGCAACACCCCGGCAGTACTGCTCTCCCCAAGTCGAGGCGTGAACAAAGTGTCCTCCGGAGTCTCTTCAGCGGGAAGCAGCTTCTCCCTGGCCTGAGGAACAGGTGTCCAGGGCTGCCAGGAGGAGGCCACGGAGGGGGCTTTGCAGAGGGCTTTCTTTTCGTCCACCGGTAGCCGCCCCCTGCACAAGAACGAGTTGGGCCCACCTGAGAGACTGGAGCTTCCAGGTCGAGTCAAAGAAATGGATCTAGAAAAGGACATTTCCTACAAAAATCAAAGGGAAGAAAAAGACAGAGGCAAGTTAGGGCTCCTCCTGGCGATGTTTATCCCCAAGTCCCAGGAAGAGCACCCACCCCGGATCACCACCTCCCAGGTCCAGAAACACTTGTCTACAAAAATCAAATACGGTCAACGGCATTCACCCCAGATTTGTCAAGGTCTGCCTGGCAGGGAGACTTGTAGGATGTATCACATATTCCATTTCTCTATCCAACCCTACCTCACCTCCTCCAACAACCAAAAAAAGAAAAAGAAAAATCTGTACCCAAATTAGTAGAAAGAGAAAAACAAGACTGCCTGGGCTTCAGCTGCATTTAGGGACCAGGCGGCTTGCTTACATCACCAAATAAAACATGCCTACTCAAGGAGAATTCGTCTCTGAGTTGACACTGTGCAACAGAACGGAAATGACTTACTCTGGGGTGGCACTTGAGGGCCTGGACAGCTGCCCCGATCTCCTTAATCCAGCTGTGCATGTCTTCTGGACTGTCCGCCTGCAAAACATCCAGGGCACTTACAGAGATGTTTTGGACACTATGATTTCAGCTTTCAAGTCTCTGACTCAATTTTAAGTTCATAAAAATCACACCATTAGAGGTGGAAGGGATCTCGGAAATCATCTAGTCTGGGAGCGTTCAGACTTTTGAGGACATTTTTCTCGTGCAGTATTTTATCTGACAACCAATAAATGAAACAATTCAAAGTGGAGCCGCTCTGAAGGGAGACCCAGGCTGTGGGGAAGGGGAGAGCTTAGAGCTTAGAGCCCTGTCCCTTGCTGAAGTCCCTCTCTCCCTCCAGAAAACAAATGACCTGGTCTAGCTCCCCATTATACAGAAAAGGAAAATGAGGCCCAGAAAGCCAGAGCTCAAGGTTCATGGCTGGTTGAGATGCCCCCCTGACTCCCAATGTGGCCACATCTTTCCACTCTAACTATCTGAGCAGAATCATCCCACTTTCAATTCCAGCCCATGAAAACCAAATCTGTCTGCAGATCCTCCAAGATATGCATTATCCTGTGTACTATCTCCAGAAACGGGGCTTTTCTCAAAGCACAAGCTACCCGACAATCTCTATCCAGGCCTGAAGAGTTGCTGCATGCTTAACAAGACGTAGGACAAAGCTAAGGAGTTTAAAAAGTGTTATGATTTTCCCCCAGACACAACCTACCAACCCCAGAAGGGGGCAGCAGCAGCTCTGTGAAAAAAGGGAGGAAAACAAAGCCGCCCGCCGCTGCTGCAGGTGGAGCCTCCCCGGTGCTTTCCACTTCACAGGGGTTGAGCTCATGTGACTGCGTCAGGTGCCAGGCACAGAGACCCGGACCAAGACTGAATCCTGGACCTCCAGAAATGTACAGTTGTCACCTCCCTCTGTGCCCCTGCATCATCCGCTAATAGTCCCACCCAAATACACAAACACGCGTTTGTGTGCATGTGCAGACTTCTATGCAAACACCACACACCAGCCCCCAAAGTTCTCCACATCTTCCCCTCACATTCCCGTCCCCAAAAATGACTCCTTTTCTTTGCATTGTCAGGATAAAACGTGAGCAGTAAAAAAAATTCTCAAACTTGCATCCGTACCCCTTCCTGTCACCCCAAAACAAACCCTCTTTGGTTAGGTGTAGGCAGGAGACGCTTGCATGGAAAACGGTTTCATAGGGTGAACACCTCTCTAACATGTGCTACGCCTGCAAATTTACTTGCACTCTCTCTCTCCCCTTGACTTTTCCCAGTTATTTAACAATCTGGTTTCCCAAGAAAAAGATAAATCCATCCGTGGGCCAAAAAAGATAGCCAGGGTAAGGTCTCCAAGGTCCTTCCAGAAGGTTCTTTACTAATGTCAGGGCTGGCCTGTTCTGCAAGTATAACTATCGAGAGAATTAAATGAGCTCAATTAATTAAAGCTGTTTAAATAGTGTCTGACACAAAGAAGGGGGTCTGTACATATTAGATATTATCGTTATTTTTATTATATGGGGGAAGCAAATGAAGCCTTAAATGCCACCATTACAGACATGTGCATTGCCCTCTCCCTGAGACTTTTTTCTAGTTTCCTCATCTTCAATCTGCAGATAATTTCTACTTCCAAGGATCAAATTATCAGGATCAAATAATGTCACGTATTTGGAGGCAGGGAAAGGGTTATTTTGAATTCGAATGAGATGGAGGTAACTGTCCATTAGGAGAAAAACATTTATGAGAGGTTGCCCTCCTAGGGAAACAAACGATGGTTTGGGAGTGGCAGGTAGAATAGAGAGGGAATGACAGGGACATGAGCGGAGGAAGAAACAGTCTCCCAGGTCACGTGCGAGAGCTGACATTTCCATTCAACAGACGGGAACATCCAACCATGACAATCCAATAACCAGTTTCCAGGGCTGGTAAACCATTTCTGGATTCCTTCCTCTGCTCTGGCAAAATGCCTCCCACCATGTCAAACGCTACCCCCACAGGCCAAGGCCACCTACCTGGCTGTGCTTTGAGGTGGTACCTCCCCCACAAACGCACATCCTCTCCAGGTACCATCACACAATAAGCCCAGGTGTCTTAGCAAGAAATCAC